ATAGAATGTGTACTAAAAACACAATATGTACTTATTGAGAGATGAAATCGGACAAAGCGTTTCTACCCATATACTTATAGTTACTTACTATAAAAGTTAAATTTAACTTAATCATAAAATGGAAAACAAGTTTTTTTTTTGAGAATAAAAATTATTCATGAATTAGTAAGTGATTCATAAAATATTGCTGAAGCTGATAGATAATTTAAGTGGCTTTTTCTTTTTTTCATTTTGGTTTTTCCATTTTACTTTGTTTCTTTTAAAATTTATGTATTTTTATTTATTTTTTTCTCTTAACAAAATAAAATAAAAACTAATACGCAAAAATGTGTTTGCAATATTGTAATTAAGTAAGATATACACATACACCTATAAAGTAAGAAGAAGATTAAGAGATTTCAGAAAAAAATCATAAAGTAATAATAAAAAAAAATTCTCAATATTGGTTACATTGGATTTTTTATTTCGTGTCTTTTTTTCTTAATTAAATTAATATTGAATTGCTAAACTGGAATTGAACTTTATTGATTGGAAAACAGGCTTTTGCTAAATTTAAAAAATAAAAAAAAATTCTGTACAATGTTTAATAATATTTATAAATTTTTTTTTCTTTATAAAGTCAATAAAATTTACATAATTTTTTTTATAAAGACACGAGTTTTATTTTAACTTAAGGTATTGCACTCAGTAGTTTTCGAAAAAGCGTGATAAAATTCATGTTTGCATTTTGTTTTCTTCGGAAACAAAAAAAAAATTTCCCAGCTGTGTTGTTTTTTATTTTCAATGTTGTACACAACAATGAAACACAAATATTTAAAATTCATCAAATTCGGTTTGCTAAGCAAGTCGAACAACTTAAAAGGGAGGGATTGTTGATTGATCAATAAAAATTATTTTTACTTGTTTTATTTTTTTTTTTTGTTGAATGAGATCAAATGAGATCAAATTTTTGTTTCATGCAAATACAAATGTTTTTTTTTCTTTTGTTATATAAATTTTTTTTTTCTGTGATAAAAAATTAAATCAGATGCAAACAAAAAGAAAAAAAAAATCTAACAATTATGCTTGTCCCAAATTTTAATTCATTTAACAAAAACAAATGGTAGGTATACATACATAGTCCGTGCTTCATCATAAATATAAAGATAATAGCAAATTTATATATGTATGTATGTACGTATGTTTTTACAACTAAGTAAAAAGTAAAAAAAAAATATTTTTGATGACCTCACGTTCCACTTTTTCTTATTCGAGAAATTCATAAGTTAATAAATATTCAAAAATTATATTTAAAAGTGAAACCTATACACAGTTTTTTTTTTATTGTTTTTCTAAAATAGTGTTCGCTTATAATGAAAATTAAAAAATATCAACAAGACGAGAGTATTATTTCTCGAAATAAAGCGAAATATATAGTAAAACTAATATTTGTATGAACAAGAATGGCTGTAAAATTCGACTGTTCTGCTTTGATCTTGAAAAAATTTAATGATTATCAATACCTACTATAAATTTCTTGGAGGATATTTAATAACACAAAGTTGCAATATTATTACTACAGTTATTACATAAGCTCGACTGGGGCGAATTTATAACAATCAGAAACATTTTCAGTTCGACAGCAAATCATTTTACAAATTCATCAAATAATAGGTGACAATGTTTTTCCCCAAATAGGCTATTAAAAATTACTAGAAAATATGTAAAATAAAGTGGAAACACTATGTTTTTAAAATTTTACTTATCTTGAAAAACATTTGGACAGAAATTTTAATTTTTTTGTGCTTATTTAACATGAAATTCGTTCAACTTTTTGAATTTTATGTGCACGCATAATTACTTTTTTTTTTTCATTTTTCCATTTTAAATATGCATTTATTAAGAAACAATTTAATTTTTATGCTTGATAATAAATTTACTTAAATATTAAAAATATTTAAAAAAATTAAAATTATGCAATATCTACTAATTAACTATAAACGTAGTAGTCCAGATGTTTTGGGGTATATGTTAAGCGTATAGATGAAGAAAAAATGGCTTTCATTCATTTTGGAAACTGTTGATTGAATTTTTCAGTAAATTTGGTTAGATAAAAATTATGACTAATTTTTGGTACAACTGATAATTTATTTTTGCAAATGTATACGTAATACTAGATTACGGTAGTACGAAACTGAGAACTGCGTACACAATGAATTATTAATTTTACAAAGAATGATATTATTTTAATTATTTTAGGAAAATTATTTTAATGTTTTTTCAGCTATCTATTACCTGGTCTAGACATTTGAAAGACGGCGTTGATCTACCTCTATATTCTTTAGAAGGCATAGATTTAGTGTTTTTTAAATGAGAATATTTTTTTCAAAATGAGTGAAAATTAATTGATTGCTTCGTACAGGTATTTGAAAACAGAATTTAATAACGAATATAATGATAAACTTGTTAAGACCACCATGTTTTATTGCATTTATATTATAATCATGCTTTTAAATTAATTTAATCAACTAATTCGTATAAATTACAAGCCACATTAACTAAATAATATCAGTTGAATTAAAATTTTATATTTAAGCAAAAATAAATCACAATAATAATTTAATTACTTGATTTCTTATATTGTAGGTACGAGGCATTACTTATTACCTATTTTATAATATAAAATTTTTTTATTTTTGGAAAATTTCATTAATTTGCAACTTAATATTAATTTATAATTGTATTGAGCTGAAAAAATATCTTGCTAATTAATTTCTGAAAGCAAAAATATATTCTCATACTACAAAATAATTTTTATATTTCTCCTTAAACTTCAGTATTTCATTATGTTATAAAAAGTGTGTTAAATTTTAAGAATCATTGTAAAAAACAAATACAAAACCAGTATTATTTTATAATCATCGTAATATTTTTGAGTCGTCAATTGAGTTTATTTTCTATTCCTATTCCTTTTATTTTATTTTTATTAATTGTGGTTTATCGTTTTTTCTTTTTTTTATTTTATTTAATTTTATTTTTATTCTAAAGTTTTCTATTTGTTTTTTTTTTATATATAAGTATGGAATATTGTTCTATTTGTGCATGTTAAATGAGAACAGAAATATAACATATTTTACGTTATATATGTGACCCTACAAGTATAGTTATTTAATAACTTAAATATAATATACATGCTTATATACATACATAAATTATTGCACACATTACAACAATACATATTATGTATGTACTTGAATTCATTGCTATTTTACATATTATTACAAATATTGTATTTCACGAAGTTCGCAAATGTACCTATCAATGTAAAATTACAATAACGTAAATTTTTAGAAGAAATATTTGCTAGCCAAAGAGAAACTAAAAAACAATGAACTTATAAAATGTTTACGTTACGAAATTGTAACGCCCTACAGTACAGCTGATGTTAAAAGAATGTATTTTTTGTTTTTTTTCTTTTAACTTTTTTTTAAGTGGGTTAGATAACTGTAAAAATAGGTAAATTTATTATTTTCTTTTTTTTGGGTATAAAATACTGCAAAAGTATCTCATTATTTTATTCAATAAGAATATGAGAAAAAAATATAAGTACATACTTATTGTTTAAAATTTTTGTAACGTGTGCCTACCTAGGTAATTATAGTTCTGACGAAATATTATAAAATAATACAAGAACTTAAAAATATACACGGCTTTACTGATAATTAAAACATTTCTGATAACCATAAGATTTCTAAATTGCGTTTTATGTAATTTATACTTCATGAAACTAAAAATATTTTTAGTAAAAGCAGAACAGAAAATGTTATTGACTCAGAAGGTGTTGATATATGTACATACGTACATATTATATGGAAGTACATATATGTATGTATATATTTATTCAAATTTATAAAGCAAAAAATTGTATGCACAAAAAATTGAAAATTTTTGGCACAATTTTGCAAATAAAAAGATTTTTTTTATTAATATTAAATATGCAAAATTTTGTAAAAGAGAAACGATAGATTCAACAGTATGAACATGATAGTAATTAAAGTATGTATGTATATGCAAGTTTCAAATTATTTAACAAAAAATTTTTTGGCAATTCAATTAAATAGAAAATTTTGAAATGCATAAAGTATGTAGTTATGTATTCATTTCTTGTTTATTGAAACAAATGCCACGTTTGCCAAACATTTTTAATAAACTTTGTAATAAATTTTGTATATTAAAACTTTAACCAACTTTTCGTGTACAATCGCATTGTTGTCAAATTAATTTTATAAAAATTATAATTTTGGTTTGTAACTACTACAAAATACACAACTTTTCATAGGATAAAAGACATTATAGTTACTAATTCTTAAAAAAAGGTGCCTTTATTAATAATTAATAAGTTAACTTATTTAATATTAATAAGTTTATTAATATAATATGAAAAATTTTACGCTTAATGAATATTTATTTTGATGATTGACAGAAGCTTTGCTAAATTTGAAAATTTATAAATGAAATGGGATACTCTTTTATAAAAAAAAAAAACTGACGAATAACTAACTCTTCAAAACAACACAAAATATGTAGTTGTAATAATAGAAGTTGGCATTAAAAATTAATTAAGTAGATACCCATTTGCTTTCTACTTTCTCAATAAATGAATTTCCTAAACAAATCTTCACACTTTTTTAACGTAAGTATGCAATCATAAAAGATAAAGCAATTTAAAAAAGAAAGTTGAAATTAAATTTTACGATATTTTTCATTACATATTAAAATTAGAATTTTTTGCAATGCAAATAGGGGCAAAATTTAAGTCTCGTACACGAAACAAACTCACAACAGCAGCATACAGTTAGTATGTAAATAAAATATTTATATAGTAAATAAATTTGCAGGTATTTGTAGGTATACCTACTTTCTATATAGAAAGCATTTTGAATTACACAATATTAGAATTTTATACAATTTTTTTTTAGCAAAATATTTTAGTTTTGAAATATAAAAAAATATTTAATTACCTCTTTGACTTTATTTCGTTTGATCCGGATGCTTGGATCTGGATCTTCGTGTCCGTCAACATTATATTTCATTATTTCAGGCTTATCATTTGCTTCTGCTGCATTATTTTTATTTGTTTCATCAATAGTTTTCTCTTCAGGTGGTCCTGGTACTGGAACTTGTTCTTCTTGATTTGCAATTTTTTCACCTCCGTCATTACTATCAAATTTATTATTCATTAAAGCTATCTTATTTCTGTCTCCAGCAGCTAAATCTGGACGATCAAGGATATCATCTAATTCTTGTCGAATTTTTTCTTGTAATTTTTGTCTGTCCCCAACAACATGAGGATCTTCTTTTCCACTTATACTATGACCAGCCAATGGTGGTGCTGGAATAAATATTTCTGGCCCCGCTTTTTGTATTTGCTTATAAACTTTAAGAACCCGTTCACCACCAAAATTATCTGGTAAAAGGAAGAACCCACCAAAACATACTATAACTAATGTCGCTAATACCAGCGCAATCAGACATTTTTCTCTTGAATGAAAAGAACGTCTTGTTGTTATTGGACCACCTAATCTGTTGTATTGTGGTAGCATTTTATTGCGTTTATTACTACGTTAAATTTGTTATCTTCATAAATAATATCACAAATGTTAAATAATGTTTCTAAATTAATTTTTATTTAAGTATTTTATATTTATTTGGCTTTTATCCTGAGAATTCAATAAAAATTCACTTTCATTTGCTGGCAGTGTTTTTCTTAAAAATGATGGATGCTGCAGCTGTCATATATTCGATTAAAAACCACTGAAAATCTTTTTTTCAATATAATTAAAAAATAAATGTTACCAAATTCGAACAAAACTGAGATTACACTTGTAAAAATATTCTGATTTTAGGGTTTGTCGACCATTAAGTATTTTTAGCTTAAAATATAATATCTACATATATATATTTGTTTTTGCAGTATTTTTAAACTACTGTCTTCTAATATCCATAGAGTATACAAAAATTTGATCGCATAATTAAAGTTCACTCAAGATAAAATATTTATTTCTTTGATTTTATTTTTCTTATATTAAATTAAATATTAAATGCACAGTTATAGTTACAATTTCGAGATTTTAGCGCGACCAAAAAAACAATAAATTATAAATAAATTCCATTTTATTGCTAACTAGCGTATAATTTTTTGTGGTCGACTTCGCAGCTTCTGAATCAGATTTGACATTACTACTTATATTGTCATTTTTCAGTGCAGCTGTCATAATGACGTGTTTTTTTTTCTTAAAATATAACCCATAAAACTATATGACTAATTTTTGATTTGTGTATTGGGAGCAAAAAATTATTTATTCACAATTTGACAAAAATCAATTTATCATTCACAATTGAATTTTAATTGTAGGCTATGCAACTTTTATTGATTTATATTTTTTACAAATTAGCTAAATGAACAATGATTTAATTATTAGGGACGATTAAAGTATTGATTAATAATACAGAATAATATAGAATAAAGAAATGTCGGAAAGAAAGAGAATATGACTTTGAAGTATGTTCCATGGAATTAATGTTTTTACGACTTAAATAACAACCGCTTTCATTTTATAGCATTTAACATTTATCATTATTTTTACAAATTAGGCAAAATTTAATTACTGTTAAAAATCAGTAGTTGTTACTAGTGAACATAAGATTTTCAATAGTTCAGTAACACTAATATGGCACCTTAGCCCTATTATAAGGTATAATGGCAATATTCAAAAAGATTTTAAAATGTCATTTAATAATCTGTAGACTGCAAACATAAATGAAGGAAAATGTCAAAATATTAATGATAATAAGAATTCTCGATAACTTTGTTTTGGTTTTGGTGATTCTAAATGCGATTCTAAATTTCACATATCGAAATTATAATGGTTAAGGTTGACATAGAATATTGGTAATTATTTATTACTTAACATTATTTTGATTCTTTGATTCGTCTGATTTTATTTTATATTAATAGTGGTTTTTGTAATTTTGAAAAACAATGTCATGAAATTTCAGAAGTCATTAAAAGTAGATCACCAGATGCATCAGTAAATTGTCACAAGGGAAGGCAGGGAGCTTTCGAAGTAAAAATAGATGATGAATTGGTTTATTCGAAAATTCAACGCGTAGCTTTTCCAGATTATTCATCTGTAGCTGATAACGTTCAGCGAGCAGCTGAAGGAAAAACATTAGAAAAAATTCAAGAACAAAAAATTAATGATTGCTGTTTGTCATAAATATGGAGTACTTCAGTGATTTCGTCCAATTCTGAATTTGTGTATAATATTACTTTGATAAAAATTTGCATATTTCCTGTCCAAATTTGAAAAAAGAAAATTGTCAAGGATGTTTTGATAAGCTCATTGCAAAAAATATAGTTTTATCCAAAAATTGTATTTTTCCCTATCTGCAGGAGAAGTGAGTTAGAAATTTTGTGTATGGATTTCATCAAAACTTATTTACATCTTTAACCAGAACTTGTGAATCGGTATCTAAAAATTAACTTGAACAAAATTTTCGCTTTGAATAGAAGAATTTAAATTGACTAAGGAAATTAAACAATGCAGCAACAGTTAGATATTTTAATTGAGAGTTAATCATGTTATTTTTTCTAGATTTTGTAATAAAAGTAGTTTAGATAATTCAAGTATTTCATTTTAAAAATTTGATATATACATGTACGTCTTTTAATATTATACTTTATTTAATATTTTTCAGATTTTAAGCAATATGTTATCGTTTACATAATTAGAGTCAGTTTTTCCGTTTTCATAAATCAAATCGGAAATTTTAATAATATTTTAGTCATTATTATCGGCAATATAGATTGCAGATGCTGAAGCAGTTTAATTTTAAAATATGCTTTCAGCTTGTAATAGTTATTTTTGAAATTAGTTATGTTTGTTGTCTGTTTTTTTAATCATTAATTTCGGATTTGAAAACAAATTTAAATGTAAGGTTTATGTCAAAAGATTTTTGTTATTTTAAAATTTTATGTTGAAACATTTTTGTTTATTAAATTCTTTTTTTATACGAAATATTCATTCAAATGAATGCGAAATTAGTCCATAAAAATCGTCCTATTTTCACTCCGTATGGATGAATATTGTCGTATGATAGCTACGTCATTACATTATTCAGTAACATGATGCAATTTAGTCGTATACCCAAATTCTCTAATAATAAATATACTAATATCGTAAGAAAATTTTTTAAACACTTTTTAAAATAATATTTAAAGCTTTATATTAAATATTTTTTGAAAAAAAAGCTTTGATAAATTATACCTTTTCTCGGTAGACACTTAACTTTTTATATTTTTGATAATTCAAGGTATACAAAGTAATACTTCATAGAATAAACGAATTTTAGTTATTTTTGAACTCAAGCAAAGGCAACAGGTTGTAAAAATTTGTATATTTCGAAAACGAATATTGCTAAGATGTTTTAAAACCAATTTGCAAGTATTGTCCGATTGAAATTTTTCATATATGTAACTAAATACTGCTTTGTTCGTGCGAAATAAGAGAAGAAAAATTAAAAAAAAAAAAATCTTAATAGAAGAAAAAAATATTTTTGTTTGGATGTTATGTTGAAAAAGGATTTTGCTTTATCCTTAATCATTTTTCTTGTTAAATTTTTAGATATTTGATAATTTACAGGATATTGAAATACCAGGAAAATTTATTTGAATATTTGCATTTCAATATGTTTTATTTCCGGTAAAGACAATACGTATGTAAATTGAAAAATAAGAAAACTTGTGGGTTGAAAATCAGAAGAATAGGATAGTTTTCATTGGTTATATTGAGTATGTAAGCCGATGGTAAGTTTACATTTTTTTTAATTTTATATTTACATAATATTAAATGCTTATAAGAAGTTGTAATTTTAATAAGTGCTACAAAGCTAAAAATAATTTTACTAAAAATAGAAAAAATTGTGATGTATTTTTTTCTTTTAGTTTTAATGACGTGCACCTGTTGCATATTCGAAACTTATTTATTAAAATAAATAAAATTTTCCTATCCAGATGGGTTTCAGTTTTATAAAATTGAGAAATTATAAAGAATTCAAAATAAAATTAAAACTGTGTTGGAGTTTAATGCATTTAATATGCTTATTAATATGTGGGATTTACGGGTTGTATTTTCAATATTACAGATTACAACAATTTGTTTGTTGATTGCAATTATTGAATGAAATATTTTGATTTATTTCAAATAAAAATTCATAATTGGGGTTTAATATTTGAATATTTCTTATTCAGCCCATTATTTTGAAGCATTGAAGAATATTTTTTTTTAATGAATTTGAAGCAATTTTTTTTATGAATTTATGTTTGAATTTTTTTAGCAAGGATTACTGATCGTTCGAAACACTGAATACGATCAAGTTGATTGATAATATTTTCTTCTAGTTCCTAGCTCTTCCCATCAAATCAAAGTACATATCTTTCAAAATTTTTCACATAATCGTCACATAATCTCTCTCTTTTTATATTAAGAAAAATTCAAGTAATAGAAAAAAGTATAGAAATTCTAAAAACCAATTAAGTTTCATATTCCTGGTATTCTAACATAATGAGCTGTATATTTGATAACACTGAATTTTTTGTATGTTCATGTAAATATGCATAGATTTATTTTATATCTATATTTAGATATTCGAACCATATATGTATGTATGTGATTTTATGAAATTATCCTTGTAAATCATGTATGTATACATAAAATAATATGATAGAAGCAATTAAATATCTGTGTATATTGTATATATGCATTACTTAATTTGAAAAATTTCAATAACATGATTATAAGCTATTCATTTGTTATAACATAATCACAACAAGAATCATCTTTCAGTTTATTTAACTTTTATAATAAAAAACGAAAAAAAAAAAATTTCAACTGAAATAATCTTTATACTTACGATTAAAAAATTGAAGTACTTTTTCATTCATTTGTTTGGTAATGTAATGGGTATACCAATAAAAGTTTTTGTTCAATTTCGTTGTAATAGAAGCACCCGTAAAAACGTGGCATGGGTAGCATGTAGATAAATATTTTGATTTAATTTGAGTTCTACTTTTGATAATTGTATACTTATATAAGAAATATTGTGAAGATTGGGCACTGGAATAATTTTGTAACATGTACAAAATATTAGAAATCTTTAATACAAAATTATTATAATTTGAATTTAAATATTTAAATGATAATTGGAAAGAAAATATGTTTGTTGAGTGGTGACTTTCTTATTATGTGTGTTATTGCTTTAAGCAAACTTACTTTACTTACCATATTATCACTAAATGCAACTCGAATTAACATCTCAATACAAAATCTTACCCTTGAATTCAAAAATGTGAAAATTAAAAAACGTGCAATAACATTTTTTGAATTTCAATTGACTACAATTTTCAACATTCCACGACTAATTTGTTTTCTCCAAAATTTTAATTATAAAATTATGCTGAACCTGAACATATAGCGGATGCAACTTGTATAATTTGCTTATTTGTATTATAGAAAAAAAAACGAAAAAATTCCAAAAATCTTGAAATTTTTATCATGTTGGGAATTTAAGACTATATAACTTTTTCTTCTTATTTTTTTTTTCTTTTTGTTGAAAAGATGAACAATTATGGTTTTTTTTATTATATAATTTAATTCTCTGAAGTTATTGGCAACAGTTGTGTAATAAGAATGAGTAGAGAAGGTCGATTATATCCTTTGGGGAATAACTTTTTGTAATATTTTCATAATATGTTACCATTAGGTAAAAACAAAAAAAAAATTATAGCTCATATTTAGAAGTATGTGTAGATGTATATACATAAATTGAACATGAACTTTCTTACACTTTGATGTTTTTACATAATATGTTATTTTTAGAGCATATTTACATGATATTCTGGTAACAGTAATAATTACTAATTTGGTGTGTGGGTATTTATAAATTTTTTTAAATCTGAAACAGAAATTTGAATTTTCTATATAGTAAAGTATATGTACATAGAATATTTATTATATGCAATTCGCAATAATTTTTCTACTGATTAGAATTTACATCTTCCCGCGAAGTAGGCAAAATTTGGTATAGCTATTCGAAAATAATTTTTTGATGGGAAAGAAGTGGCCGCTGAAGATGTGCAAATATAGACCATCATGTGAAAAATTATCATAGAATATTTATTGTATGATACAATATAATCATCCTTGCTTCTTTAATTATCCACAATTTAAAATAAATCATGAACTAAGCAATTAGATTTTATACAATTAAATCCAAAACTTAATTATCGTATCATTTGATTTATGAATTGTTCCGAAATTCAGCTGTGGTAGTTTGAGAGCATCTGTTGCCATTCATATACAAAATTAAAATCATATTTTAAACTATAAATGTAAGGTTAGGTAAAGAAACAACAGACTGGTATTAAATATTAAGTTAATTCTGTTAAATACATTAAATGAAGAAAACATACAAAGCATAAGACTTATAAAAATTATGTTTTAATTGGGAAAAATTTTGTAATATAAATTTACATAAATATACCCGTATATATACAAAGTCAAAGTAAATAAAATAATGTACATATGAATATACAATTGTAATATTTTATTGTTTAAAAGTTAGACAAAGAAAATTTTGAAAGAAAGATTTGGTACATTAAAATTGTTATAATAAATTTACAATTTTGTTTGTAACGGTGGCAAATAATTGTCTGATTTATGTATATTCATATATATTTTTATATAAAAATATATCTGAAAGGGTATAGTCTACTGAAAGGATATAACAGATATATGTTTTCTCGTGTATAACCGATTTTTTACAAATTGTTATAACAGTAAATGTACGAACTCTATTTCAGTTCGGATTGCTGTTATTATGCGACTTTAACAGTTTTATTTATATTGGAAAGTTTAATTTATTGTAGAAACTATTACTACTGTATGTAGTAATAAAAATGTCGCACAGATGTTGTGTAATGTTATGTTATGACCACAATTTTAACTCAGAGTAGTTAACATTTTATACAAGTCGCCTTATGTTAGTAAAAAAAAAATTGGTTTCAACGAAATTGTGAACAGTTTTAGTATTCAGACGAACTTTCTCAAAACATTTAGTTCTGGCCAAACCCTAGATATGCCAAGAGCTTTACTACAAAACTAAATAAATTAAACTCTCAAAAACTAATCGATTGCTCTTATTTCTTATAACAATTGCTGAGCAACATGGAATCTATTGAGCTTCTATATAACAGCTAATATTACATGACTTCTGATATCACAGAGTTGATACGTTCAACTCAATACTAATTTTACCATTTTTAGTCATTTTATTTTTCTTAATTTAAATTCTTTTTTTTGTTTTGTATTCAAAAGTTTTGTTTCACTTTGTTACGTTTTAATTAAGGTAAATATTTCATTTGCAAAAAAAAAAGAGAAAAACAAAAATGAACTTTTATCTGCGTATTTAATGAAATTTTCTGACAGATGTTGTTAAAGTCCATTTAAATATTTTTTTTTTAAATATTTTTGGAATTTTATAAAGAATTTTTATATTATTATAGAATGACGGTATTACATACATAGTTGTATTTGTTAAAAAAAAAAACATATTTTTTATTTAAATTTTTCTTTTGTATTTGAGAAATTTTTCAAATAATTTGAGGTTAACATTTTTGTCGTGATATTAAGTTTCATAATGTAAATCCCAATTATTTTGATTTTTTATGTTGCATTCATGACATCCAAAATGCAGTGGAAAAAAGTTTTACTACAGTTTAATTGCAGTATTAATATTGTAGTAAAACTTCAAAAATGACTACATTGTAAAATTTCAAAATATTTTAAAAATTTTGGATCACAATATCGGCAGTTGAAAACAAATTAATATCATATGAACGAATTTTGGTCGTCAAATATTTTAAAAATATATTTTTTAGCTATTAAAGCGTTAAATCCGGCACGAAAGTACTAAACAATTTTGTTTGGCCTGGTCAAATTTTTTAATTGAATAAGCATAGCAACACAGTTTTGACATTGTAGTAAAAAACTATTGTCTCGAGAATTTTGCTACAATATGGATCATAAATACAATGTAGTACTAGATTAATATTGCATTTTGGATGTCAGGGTATATCGATGTGCAAACATAAAATAACACTCGAATAGAAAAGATGATTAAATATATAATGCGTATATGTGTGCGAGTTATCTTATGTCACATGGAAATTTTTATATGTACACATTTATTGTATATAACGGTAATTAATCAAATTTTATGACCATATTTATTTTTTGTTTTGATAATCTATTGGGGATTTTTTTTTTTGTCTTTGTATTTTTTCCACTTCAATAAGGACGAAAACAAAACAAAAACCAAAAAATTTTTTTTCCGCTTGTTGGTGCTGGACCATTAAAAATCCTATTTTGTCATTAATACAAAATCGATTGTCTAATATAAATCCTAAAAATTTCTATTTTTATACCACAATTTACTTTGGAACAACGTTGTTTAAGTATAATTACTGGAAAAATACGTTTATTACAAGGTCCTTTTATTGCAAAAAACAAGAAAGAATAAAGAAAAAAATAAATTTATTTTGAAGTAATTTACTTTCTAAAACTTTCATGTAGACATTTTCCTTTTAATTTCAATAATTAGAACACGAATATCTTACCTTCTTTTTAAAATTTTTTAATGATACTTTTAAAGGGAGAAAAACTTTAGAACTTTTTATTTCAGTTGAATTTTTTCTTTTTTTTTTTGGGGAACCTATATTGGTATTCTATATAGCTATTCAGTTTTTGA